ATACCTATTTTTTATTTTTCATAATTAAATCAGTGTGGGACAAGTAAATGGGTGACCCACCCAAGAAATTTTCCCCTCACTAATTAATTAAAGTCATAATCGACCAAACTAACTTTGTTATTGTAAATAACAAGTTTTCCTATAGGTAAATGATAATAGTTCATTTCATATCTAATGATATCGAATTCCAATACAGTTTGTTTGTGAATGAAATATTGAGTTCTTGTTGATATGAACTGTGGGTTGACTATCACAATATAATTTTTTTTTCTTATGATAATCTCAACTCTTGTAGGAATTTCTGCATCTACAAGAGCTCCTTAACAACTTCTATAACATTAATATATTATGCTTTTGTAGTCTAAATTGCCATGAATTGTTTTTTTACCAAAATCTCAGTTTTAAAGCTTTTCCACACATAAACTCTTTTTTTTTTCATTCATGACATATTAATCACTTTCAGAAATTATTTTTGTGCTAGATGAGAAATAACTTCTATTTTTCTTTCAGTTGTTCTATCTTGCTATGCGAGACAACATACTCGCTGGGCAAATATTAGGCTTAACCGTTGGGTGAAAAGGTTCAGGCAGACAATCTTTCAATCTTCTTTGAATGTTTATTCTCCTACACAATAATATATATATATATATATATATATATATATATATATATATATATATATATATATATATATATATATATATATATATATATATATATATATATATTATATAACTTGACAGAAACTGAAAGGTTCACATCTTTCCATGAGAAAAACACATAATACATGAACAAATAGAAATATAAGGTTAAAAATAAACATGAATAATAAGTATTTATCACACTTGTCAACTCCTCCATTCATGTCCTCTGAAAAACATATCTAACAAGCATAACACACATACACTAACCTACACAATATAAACAAAGAAACATATGATCTCTTAACATAACTACTCTTCACATAACATAGAAAGTTCACTTACATTTTTAAAAGTAAAAAAGATATTACATAGTGCATTTATCAACTCACATCCTTAACCCCAACATGAAATATGACAACTACATAAAAGAATTATCAAGTCTCTCAAAAGTCAATATTTTCTCTAACATGTGTTTATCAAATACATTATACATACTCACAAAAAGCATGTCATAGAACTACTTAATCAATTTTTGCACATAATCTCATTCATACACAATGAATTAGATCAAAAGGTCTTTCTTGGATTGAAACTAGGCTTGGCTAAAAGAATTATTGTTTTCCATGGATTCAAACTTGAGAAGAGAAAACCAAGTATATGCATACATCACTTATGAGCATCCTTAATTCTCATATACAAGAAAAAAACAATCCACTATATTTCTTTCATAACTCAACCTTAAATTTTTCATTTAATGCAGCCTTTTCATTATTTTGCCTTTGCCTTTCTTTCTTTTTTTCACATTTAAACATTCTCAAACAATTTATTCCTTACTCTCAATCATCTTTTCCCCCAACTTAATTTCAACCAAAGCCATGTTGACAACATTACACTTGTTGTCTTCTTGGGTGTTAGATAAGATAATTTTTCATAAGTTTAGGGTAAAAGAACAAAACATCAATGCTCAAAAAGGTTCACAAATGATTTCCTGTTATGCAAGATTAGCTATTGGATAGGCCAAGTAACTTCGTTACATAAAAACAAACAATTGTCTTTGTCATTCCTAACCAAGTCAACTTCATAAACAACTTTCTTTAATTGCTCTCCAAATCTAACACATTCTAATCATTGGGTCATATTCAAACACAAGATAAGGAATGAATCAAATTGCAACCACATCCACATGTTTTATCATTGAAATTTGCAAGCAAATAATACAAGATTATGCAAAGCCATATAAACCAAGATCACAATGTTTTTTTTACATCTAATAATCCAAATAAAGAAACTCCATCTAACCTAAAACAAACTAAATATAAACTAAGAAAGTCATCATAACCATGGTCTCCATGCAAGCTCCTCCTACTGCTCTCATTGTCACTATCTCCAGGCCGGATCAGGATCCTCTTGCTGCTCTCCCTGCTTATGATCATTAACAACAACATTCACATCACCCCCACTGAGATGTAGGCCTAGGGCCAAGGAATCTGAGCTACAAACTAGCTCCCTGTCATAAGAATGAGTGATTTTCCCTGCACCTCACCAGTTTCATCCTGCACCTCCCTATTTTTCTATTATTCCAGCTGTGTCCTTGTCAGAACCACAAATAATCTATTGTAGTGGTTCTTCTTAGCTTGAGCATCCAGGTTGGTTGTTCTTTCCTTAAGCTTTATATGATAGAAAAATTGTATGTGATTATATTCGTTTGTATGGATTGTTTGTATATAGTATTTGTATGAGCTTTTTTGTATGTGTTGGGATTGTATGTGGTGAGATGCATGTCTGGGCTGGATAGGACGAAGATGATGCCTTAATCGCATTGGTTAGAACTCTCTGCACTTGGAAGCACGACTAAGAGCTCGCCAAAGTTTGAAATGCGGTCTAACCGCATTTGGAACGGTTAATATCACGCCGCAGTTGGAAATGCAGTTACCGCGCGGTTTTACTATTATCGCCGCTTGACCTACGGTGAAGCATTGCTTTTCTTTCTTTTTGTTTTATTTGCTTTACTATATTTAGTTACTTTTTGAATTTGATTTGTACGGTGAAGCATTGCATTTCCTTCTTTTTATTTTATTTGCTTTATTATATTTAGTTACTTTTGAATTTGATTTGTTTTTATATTTTTTTATTAGTTTATTTAAATATTAAATATTTTGTAGGTAATATTTTGTAATTTGTATTTTATTTTATATTTGATATTTATTTAAATTTTATTTTTAATGTAATTAATTTTTCTTAATTTTGAAATTTAAATTTTTTTGTTAATTTTTTAATCTATAATTATTTATTGATATTTTATTTTTGAATATGAATTATTATTTAATTATTTGTTGTATATTTTTTTTTAGTTTTTATTCGTTTATTAATTTAAATTTAATTTGTTGTGTTTTTGTGATTTTTTAGAACTTTTTTTACTGATTTGTTAACATTTTTTAATTTTTAATTTTTATTATATTTGATATTTATTTAAATATTATTTATAATGTAATTGATTTAAAATTTATATTTGTTTGTTAATTTTTAATAGTTTTGAAATTGTTTATTTATTTAAATAATATTTATTATGCATAAATTTTTAATTTTTGATTTATTATTTTGTTTCTTAATTTATTTTTTAATTTTTAATGTTGTTGTTATAATTTGTAGTTATTTAAGTATTATTTATTAACTAATTATTATTAAAATTTAACTGATTATTTTAAACATATTTATTGTAATAATATATATAAAGAAATAAAAAACAGCGTAAAACTAAAACACCTAAATAAAAGCATAAAACTAAAACAACATAAAACTAAAATTAAAAAACAGCAATTTAACATATTATTTAAATAAAAACATCTTATAAGAAGGAAGAAATGAAACAGTGGAGAAATGAGATCAACAAATAAAACTCAATGAAACAATGGAGAATGGAGAAATGAGATGATGCATGGACAAGCTTATAATATATGGTTAAAAGTGGAGAAATGGGATGGGATGCATGTAAGGATTATAGTACAAAAGTACAAAATTAAGAGTTGTTGATGATTAAAAACTCATTAAACCATCATTACATTTTTTTCGTATTTTATTAAATGAAAGGTATAACTGTCAATTGAGAAATGCAGGATAAGATTGGTGAAGTGTAGGGAGAAACACTCCATAATAATATCTTCAGGAAAGTCAGGAATATCGAGAAACAATTGATGGATGTTATCTCTGATAACAATTTTATAACAAAGACAAGACTCAACAAAACAATTCAATAATCATGCCATCAAAGTTCCATTTATCAACTTAAAAAGTAGACAATTATTATAATTAAACTAACTTTCTTTGTTTAAAAATAGTTTGTGGAAACTAAAACTCTAATGCTTAATAGAATAAGCCACTCACCTAAAGATACTATTTTGAAATATGTATAGTTGAATGTTTCTTAACCCTTCAATCTCAACCTAGAACAATTCGATTTTTTTTAAAGGACGAGAAACAAAGATGAAATAAAAAAATAAAAAAGGCAGAGGAAATGTGTTTGGTTTAATTAAGGGTACAAACAGAAAAATAGAAAGTTGTTCCCGCAACCTTATTTCCTTAAGCTACTTATATTATATTATTATTATAGGAATACTATACGTGCACCAAACGATTGGTAGAGAAAGTAAATAATTATTATATCATTTTATTTCCATACTAAGAAAGGTTAGTAGAGAAAGAAAGAATTATAATATTGTTTAATTTTATTACTATGCATAGGAGAGTTGACAAAAAAAACAATTATTATATTATTTTATTTTCATACTATGCGGGAAAGTTGATACAGAAAAGAAACAAACCTCAGTGAAGGAGGGGCATGGTTTTACAAATATAGTGCATATTTTTATAATATCCTATATTATAGATATACGTTGATAAATTGATGAGTAGAAAAAGGGAGGATATTAACATTAATTATAATTAAGATAAAAATGTGAATAGAGATAGAATGTGCTTTATTACACCGTTGAAGCTCTAGCTGATATAAAATATCAATTAGAATAAGAATTAATTAAGTGTATCTTTTTAAAATATGATGTTATCATCCAAAATCCTTTTAATTTGAACCAAATTGTTTATTTATAAAATCAATACGGTTGAATTCAAGGCAACATATTGATAATATCCATTTAACCCTCTAGATCTGCAAAAAGAAAACATGAGGAAAATGTTCAAATCTAGAAGCCTAAATGCACAAGAAATAATGGTTGTTTGTAGATAAATGACCTGGAAACAAAATCTGCAAATCTACTAAGAAAAAGATTTAACTGAGTAGAAAGCAACAAATAAAAAGATATAAAATAAATAAATAAAAATGTATAACAGATTAAGGTAAGATTCTGATTTTGTTGGAGGGTTTTCATTGCAGCAAATACAACACCACAACCAAATTTTTAGGTATAGTGATAGTTAATTTTCAATGAAACGTACATTGAAAAAAAAATAGTCATACAAGTAGTATAATTAAAAATAAACTTAATTTTTAAAAACGAAATCTTCCAGAAGTCAATATGAGGTGCAAGGAGAAGCTCTCCAAGGAAAGGCTCTCACCACCACCACGACAGTCGCCAAAGGACAATGACGAGAAGAGAATTGTGAGGATGAACGGCAAATTGAGAAGGCAAATGAGGGAGGAGGGGAGGAGGCAAGACGCGATATGAGATTGCGAGAAGAGAGGAGACAAGGGTGGCGTAAGGTTTGGTTACGCAATTTGAGAGAGGAGGGGGTGGGTGGTGTAGGGTTTTGTTGGAATGAGTCAATTAAAAAGAAAATGCAATCAAAGATTCTTTTTGACAAAGGCACAGATGGAAAAATCATAAAATTTGGAGGTGTAGGCTGAGATGGATGAGGTGCAGGAAGAAGCTCTCTTCCTTCTATTGCACGAGAATCTTTAACCCTAGACGCCGAACCTTCTTATTGACTTTGAAAGGATGACTTCGAGACCGTGGGCCATGCATGGTGGCACCACCCCTGAACTGTTACCATTCATAAAATTTTATTATTTTCAACTACTGAAAAAACAAAAAGAGCAGAAGAAATGTGAAGGATAAAGATGGGCTAGCAAGTATGCAGAATGCTCCACAAGGCCCATATATATATATATATATATATATATATATATATATATATATATATATATATATTCAAATATTAATAAAAATGCTTGCCTCACATCCCAAATTTAATAAAATCCAATATAGAAAAAATATCACCATCTTGATTAAGAAATAAATATAGCATTTCCTCTGGAATGTAGATATGCAATGAAAATGAGAAACAACCTTTCGATTCCAAAACATTAAGCAGTCACTACCTGTTGTCATTTTGCAAGCTTCCACCTAACGACACGATTTCCTTCCGAATAGGCAAATCAAAAAACATCTCCAGGTAAAACCATATAGCCCTTGTCTTCATTATGAAAGTTGGTAACTGGAATTAAAAGATCATGGCAAAGCCCTACAATATATTGAACTTGATTAAGACACCCTAGAATCTTTTTGACAGGAATCAGCACATGTTGTGATCAAGAGTAAAGAGTTTGTCACCAAAGATGATAGGTAGTGAAGAAAACAGTGAAACAATCAAAAGATGCACTCAAAATTTTGATTTATAATATGGAGAATTCTAACCAGTGCCGCTTTATGGAAGAGTGTTACATAAGCACCTTCGTGATCCTATAAGGACCGTTATTTTCCAATAACAACAAGGTTGTGGCTCTACATGCAGTTAAAATCTAGAGAAAGCTATTGGTAACTTAGGATATTAAATACATGATTTTAGTGGAGGACACAATTTAAACACTAGGACAAGTTCCTTTAATTTCAGAGCAGGATAAGATCATTAAGCATGAATAAAATGTTAAGTTCTCACTTACAGGATGAATTTCAGAACAAACTATATGCAAGTTCTAACATGTAAATATTACGAAATGCATTCAGTCAATCGCAAATGGTATTTGGTGTAAACTATGTATCTTGAGAAGTACACATAAAGAAGAAACATTGGCACGGAAGATATTAGTCTAGATCATACAAAATGAACAACAAAAATCATCTCATAATCTAAACCACACTGGAGTTCATGCCTTGCAGTTTATTGAATCTCTCCTTTCAGAAATAAATATCAAAGTCAGCAAAACAGAAGCACTGTTATATTCTGGTACAAGATGCTTCAAATTCAGAGCAGAAGCAACGGTAAGGATGCAACTAAAATTACATCAAATGCATTGCACGCAACTTAAATTCGCAAAATCGACCACTACACCATTTATATCTCAGTAACCTCAGTATTTTCACCAGGGAAGGGTCCCTCGTCAATTTACAAAACGGTGTGAAAGATGAAACAAGTATCGAACACAATCTAATGCTACACTACAACCATAGACAAAATAAAGATGTGAGGAAAAGAAAAAAAAAAGAGTTACCAGAGACAGTACAGAGAGGTAAGGTAAAGCTGATAGAGGATTTAGCCCGCTGTTGCCCCAAATTTCTCTCAGAATAACCATCTGTATTTTCTCCTGTTCATGATTATGTCACCTGTAAGGACCGCACGTTTTTTTTAAAAAAGAAGTGGTGGGGGAGGGGCTTCATGTCCAGCAACAGCAGCTGGTGGATGGTGAGTCATTCCACCTTGAAGTGCTCCAGCCACCAGGAATCATCATCATCTTCATAGTGGGCATGGCACTGAAGAGGGAAGGGAATGACTGAGAACCGTCCAGCTAGCACCATCCAGTGGAGTGCACAAATTTCCTTTCTCTTAAAGGGAAGAGCCCATTGATTCAAAAGGGGATTGGGTTCTGAAACTGTGGGGAGTGAAATCCTTGCTGCAAAAAAATCCGTGAGAGAGGTGAAGTTGAGAGCTTCTGGAATTGCAAAGAGGCCAAGGTGCTGCAAGTCTTGTGAAAGTTGATTCAAGGTCTATAAAGGAAGTCTTCAAGAAGTCTAAAAAGGTCACATTCCCTTCCCTCCTCAGTGCCATGCCCATATGAAAATGATGAACATGATGATTCCTGGTGACTGGAGCAGTTCAAGGTGGAATGACTCACCATCCAACTGCTGTTGCCGGACGTGAAGCCTCTCCCCAACCACTTCTCTTTTAAAAAAAAGTGTGTCCTTACACATTAACTATAAATAAATAAAACAATTACATAATTAATTAAAAATAAAACAATTCAAAACAATTTCAATTAATTATAATTAAATTAATAATACTAAAATTTAAATAAAGTTCAAATAAATAAATCTAAAAAATATAAATTAAAAAAATAAAAATTAAAAAAAAAAACAACTGCGAAGGCCAAAACGGATATAGAAAATCCGTTCGGCCTTCGAAGAGGTCCACACAGATTACACATGTATAACAGAACATGTTCACAGAAACTTACTTAAATATATGTACAAAACCTACTTAAATATACATACAAATCAAACTATCTATCATGCAAATAAACATATAAATCAAAAAAAGAGAGAAATTAACCTGGATAGTAGAAAATCAACCGCGAACGAAGTACCAACCAAGCACCAAACTCCTACACAGTCCTCCACAGCACGAACAATAGAAGGAAAGAAAATGGAACCAATGGAGGAAGAGAAGGAAGAAAACGGAAATGGGGAAGAGAAGGAATGAAGAATAGAGAAGTTGGGGGGAGGGGGAGAGAGAAACGGAAATGGGGAAGAGAAGAAACGAGGAAGAGAGAAGTCTGTGGGGGTGGGGTGTGTGTGCCGCAATCAAAGGGTAAGGAATTAGGGTTTTAAGTAAAAGTATAAAAAGATAAGGGTAAAAGTAATAACATTTTAATCTAAGGGTATTTTTGAAAAAAAAAATGGGGAGTGCAGAAAGAAGGCTGTGGTGGTGTAGGAGAAGCTCGATGCTAATCGGCCTTTCTCGGCTTAGTTAAAAACGGACAACAACCTATAAGTTTTACCCCAACAACATTTTTTATTTGGGTAGACGTTAGTTTCCGCTAAAGACAGGGGCATTTTCGTCCTTCACTTTCATAACTTTTATCTTGCATTCTGATGAATTTCCTTCTTCTTTTCTTAATTTTACCTTTTTCACATTCTATAATCTAAAAATAAAAACTTATTTTTGAATTCTAGAATTTAGAAATTAAAGATAAGTAAATTTTGAATTGAATAGAAAGCTAAAAATAATTTCCAAATGTTTTTGAATTTTGTATGTAAGTCATTTAAAAAAAATAACTTTCTTAATTCGAAGGAATTGTGTAATTGGAAAACCACTTTATAAACAAAAAATAATTTCATTCGAAAATAAAAATATATATAATTTTTGAATTACATAGTTCGAAAAAACAAAATAAAGAAAAATATGAAGGTGTAAGAAGACACTGCCTGAAAACACCCACCCAATCAACAGGACGCATGACTGTACAAGTTTTTATACTATTTATTTATAATTAAAAAAATTTAATAAACTTATTACATATAACAAGTTGATATTAGATGAAAATTTGAAAAGTTTAATCAACTTGTCATATATAATAAGTTTTGATTAGAAGATAATTTAAAAAGCTTGCATACTGTAATAAGCATGCACCAAATAAGCACCCCTAATTGTAAAACAAAAGAAAATACATAAGGAATCAATTTTATTTAAAAACATTTTCACATAAAGTGATTTTGTTTAAAAAGGTATATTTGCTAATTAAATATAATTGTTGTATTTATTAAACTAGTCACCTTATCTTAAAATTCGCTCAAAAGTAATATATATATAGTAAAAGTAACAATTCACTAGTAGGTTTGACAGAACGTAATCCCACCAACCAAAATGAGCAACAGTTCCATTGAATTGTTCTGTTCACCGTCAACTATTGGAAGTTGTCATTTATTTTAAGAACAGTTTAAAGTTATTTTTGACGTAAAAAAATTGTTTTATCTTAATAAAATGTTTACAAGATTTTCTATTTTATCCTTTTCATTAATATGAAATTCAGATACTTAGTCTAAAATAGCAATAAGAACAAAAAATGGATAAAGATGGTGAAATGAAGATTTAAATCTCCAAAAACTTTCTATCTCGAATTTTAGAATACTTAACTTATGATTTTTAAGCACTACCTAAACTATTTTTTATAATCTAGGGAAGGCAGAAAAACAATTTACTTTGAAATTAAAAAACAAGATTTGTTGAACTGGAAAGATAGATATCCAAACTTTAAATCGAGATGTGCCCTGAAACATTATGGTAGTTTGATGTTCTTTCAAGGTTATTCACAACCATTCTGTGATAATTTGCAAGTGTTTCAACAAAACAAATGTCCTCCATTGTCATCAGTTAATGATCATCTTGTTAAAAAATTCAGCTTGCTCAGGAAAATACTCCATCAATTCATCCTTTGTCACCCAGACAAAATCCTCACACTTTGCAATGTTGAACTTGTTTTTAGCAATTACTTGAGATTTGAAGAAGAATCTCTGGCAGAAGATTTCAGCAAAGAGAAAGAATAAGCAAATAAATCAATTTTTACATTGAGATGGAAGAAGCACTGGAAAGGCTAAATTTCAAATCATGTTGGCAAGCATGTTAGAGTCCTAAGCACTTCAATAGTGTGCCAACATATATTGATATTAATAAGAATATTAAAAGAAAGGAAGCTTCCATAACTAAAACCAGAAGTACAACAAATTTCCTATAAATATACCTACCACATATAAGATGTGGATCCAGACTGGTCTTCTGTAGGCTGAACAACCATATGGCCCATTGGAGCGTTTCCAACAAAATATGTACTAGAAAGATCTCCTATGATTGACTCCAAAGCAGATTCTGCACACTACAAAGTTAAAAAGAGTTAACAGGAGTTAAAAAAAGTTAACAGGGAAAAGTTACAGAAAAAGAAAAGGAAAGTCATATACCAACGTTCACCTCGAGCATGGTGTCCTCAGATTCATAAACTTTCTCAGGAAAATGCCACACAGGCGCTCTTTGTAATGACCTAAGTAAACGAGTAGTAATAAGTAAAAGAATGAGCAGTCATGCAAAAACTGTGTCTGAAGGCAAATTCATTTCTTTAAAATAAAGAAAAATAAAAGGGATAAGTATAGTTAAGTGTATTTTCAGTTTGAACTATGTTACCTAGTATTTTTCTTATCCCTTTTATTTTTACCTATGGTCCTTGCCGTAGTAACTAATAAAAGATGTATACATTCCTATGATGACTTTCATAAAGAATGCCGAGTACGAGATAAATATAAAAATAGCAAGTTTGTTCTACATTATATAATCAACAATTTGTCAAAGAAAAATTCAGTCACTCGCCACTCAAGCAGGCATGGGAATAAAAATGAAATTTAAATTATAAATTGCTAATTACTATCCGTAACTAAACAACATGCTACAGAAAATAGACATCGGTCCAATCCTAAAGAAGATGAGATCAAGAAAGAACTAATATTCCATAGGAGAAATCACGTGTATAAAGAAATTCAAAACAAGATTTAATTAATACTTTGGTCCTTGTATTGAAGACAAGTATTCAATTGTTTCTCAATATCTTTTTTCTCGCTTAATTGAGTCTCAACATTGTTTAAAATCACACGATGTTGGTTCTTCCGATAAATTAGGGTTAACACCGTTTGATAAATGTCATATGCAAGTGTCTCAAATTTTTATTTTTTTTAGTTTCTTTTTTAATTCTTTTTGTTTTCTTTCTTTTTGAGTTTTTTCCTCCCCCACACCACTCCCCCATCTCATTCATCCTCTTCCTTCCCCCACACGACTCCATTTTTGTGTCTCCCAAAAATGCTTCTTTTCTCTCTGAAGGGAGAAGGTACAAATAAGGGAGAGAAGATAAAGTGCAAAAAACAAAACAAAATGGCGAGTGCAAAGAGTAAAGAATTGAATTTGAAATTTGAATTGGGTTTTTTGGAATTGCAGTTAGTGGATGGGTACGGTGGTAGCTACCGTCTGTCTTTCTGGACATGTTTTAAATTGGAACCAGTTTGCTAGAACGACAACTTCAGTGGCGAGGCACCACATCCCTAATTCCCCATGAGCGTCTGTTTTCAATTTAAATTTTATATTAACTATTCATTATTATTAATGATAACGTGATTGCACTATCCTCTGGAGCAGAAAAAGGATTAGGACGGACGGTTTGGGGGTTGCACAGTATTGAGTTTGGTGGTGGTTTTGGGGATTTTAATGGTGGTGTGGAGGTTGTGGTGTTGAGATTGGTGCTGGTGTGAAGGAGGAGGAGGAAAGAAATGGTGAGGAGAGGGGGGAGGAGGAGGAAGGAGATGGAGGGGTGGTGTGGGTGAGGAAGAGGAATGACATGAAGGGATGAAAAAAGAAAACAGAAAAAATAACAAAAAAATTATTAAAAAATAAAGCATATAAAAATTTGAAACATGACATGTGGCACCTACCAAACAATGTTAAGGTTAATTTAACGGAATGGTCATTCTAAACAAAATTAGGACTTAATTCAGTTAAAAAAAATATTGGAAAACAGTTGAATATTTATCTTTAATATAAGGATAAAAGTATTAATTAAACCTTTAAAAAGTAAAACATTTTCTTACTGCAAATTCTCACATGGTCAGTTTACTCATATTGGTGCATACATTTTATCATTGTTTTTGTCAGCTTCAGTGAATCGTGGTGCTGGCACATAGTCAATCTGATAATCCCCTTTTCCCCTGGAAGTAACATAATTTTCATGCGAACGTATGAAAAGAAGAAACTATCTGTATTGCCAGCTGTGATAAATCTTAAGCATATCAACACATTGACAAGGAGGCAAAAAAAAATATACATAATCCAAGCCACCGAGTTAAATATGCAGAACCAATTCAAATAATCTTAAAGGCGTCATTAATTTTATAGGTTTGGCAATTAATATAGTCCTTACAGAGCTTGGATGATTCCCATCTAACAATTCAGTTTTATAGGATTAATGTAGGTTTTTAATCAAATTGAGTAATAGTAATAATAGATCATAATCCTTGTAATTAAATAAGGAAACAAATCATGAAATCTAAATAAATATGAATACAATTCTAAGAGATAACAAGGACAAATGGAAGGCGGACATATGGAAGGCAGGCATACGAGATAATATTAATACTCAGGATATAATAAACTGATAATTGGATATCTTTCATTTACTCTAACACTAACATTTTACCTTTGTTTAGTTGTCTATTGTCTTTTATATTCCCCTCTACCTTTTGTACTAGTTTTCATATTTCGCTAGTTCTAAGGAAGGAAAGAAAGAAGTTTTATACAATATAGATAATTAGCAAAAGACCTAATGGTTCTTTTCCGTTTCTATTTGAGTATATAGATAAATGCCTCCCTTACAGCCATTTGAGAGTATTCACATAAAATAGAAGTTTAACAGAGAAAAGAAAAACAATTTTGTTGGTTACTATTCAAGTATTTATCTCTTCAACTCTCAGGAAACTTGCAAATAAGTTTTTCGTATATATTATAATTTATAACTAAAAGTGCAATCTAAATGCACCTGCCGTCTCATAGTCAGTCCCATGCCTGGATAAAGGAGGTGGGTTGTGTTAGGCCTTCGACAACCAGCACAAAACACACCAATAAAACACATGGATCACTCACTATTTGAAATGTCACCTTGATATCTCTCTCTTCAAAACTAATTAAATGTAAACAACAAAATATTGAAACTATAGACTTACCCTGGAGTACCTTGCTTCAGATTTGTCTAGAAATTCATCAGGATATCTGTGTTGATATTGTTGCCGCTGATAAGTGTGAAAAAAAGTTATATTTATACTTATAAATGAGCTCAATTTTGTAATTATTCATGTGGTTCCTCATTGAAAAGAAGTTCCGGACAGAAACATTCTCCTAACAGAAGTTCCAGACAAAAGAAAGAAACGAAAACATCTCAGGAACTTCCGGAGACTACTTCAAGGTATCAAGACACATTGTAATGAACTCACTGTGATTTAATTTTCCTGCTCAATATATGATTGTTCGTTCATATCCTCTTTCTTGAATTTATTATCATTGTATGAAAATATAATGTTATTTGAATGTCTTTGATTACTGGAAAGTAACTTTGAACATGAACGTAGATCATTCTTAACATCGGACTTAATGCAAATTGTATGTTAAATTGACTAAGGGATTATCATTTTAATATATTAATTTAAAAATAGTTGCTAAGGGATTAGGACTAGTATGCCTTGATGTGAATGTTTGAATGAAGTAATGAAATATTGAACAGATTCATGAAACCCAATTCCAAAGAAGTTTCTTTTAAATATAAATTCCTTGTTTGATAAAATACCAAAAATAGTTTCTTGTGTTGTTTTGTGCATTTTGATGTCTAATTGAGTTATAAAAGAAAGAATTGTCATGTGTTGCACAAGTCTCTTGGGAGACAATACTTTTACTTATTCACTGTATTACTTGGAACGATTTGGTATACTTGCCAAAAAGTCATCAAGTTTTTGGCGCCGTTGCCGGGGACTTGTGTTCCAACACAAGGTAATTTGGGCATTTATGACTCTTTTAGACTTTGTTGTGAATTTTCCTTTTTAATGTTGTTGTGTATGCAGTTGGCTTTAGTTTTTTAAGACTTTTCATTGATTTAGTTTGAACTTGATGTTGTTATTGAAAGTTCTTAGGAATGAGATTTCAGTAGCGGAACTAACTAAATCAAACCAGATGTGCAAATCACCAGGGATGGAGTTGTGTGTTTATCTTTTCCCATATTTCTCTTTTGAAAATTCGAGGAGGTGGAAAATAGGATATTCATCACTAGAATTTATCAAAACATCACCCTCCACCTAGTTTACAAATCACCAACTTCATAAAAGGAGGAGAGTCTAAGTTCAACAATTAGGATTGACATGACATCCCTTCCTACTCTACAGTCCTCCAGCAGAAGCGCATATTTTTCCTTGAAAAATGAATTAATATCTTCTGTTGTTAGTTTGATATTAAATGCATTACTAGAAGTTGTTAGAAGATTCTAGATATCTCTTTGTAATTATTACTTTAGAATTAGACTTCTCTATATATAGAGGTTAATGTACTGTTTCAAATCAATCAATGGAATAATAATCTTCTTCCTTTCAGATTAATCCTTTCAAGTTCCTCTATGACTACAAACTCAAGACTCAATGAAGCTCAAATTACCCAATTCATTTTATCTTTCCTAGATATACTTTTTATTCAAGCAGAGCATAATATTAAAGTCAGAGAAAGCAGACAAACTTACAAGAATTCTTGAAATGCGTAAACTACAGGATCAATTTTCGGAATGACCCCTGGCAGTCTCTCAAGGAGCACAGAAGCAACAAGGTTCTCAGAGCTTGTGCTGAATCCTCGCCTTGTCAAGAGAGGTAGAACCAATGACATCTTCATCCTGGATGTATGCAGAACCATCAGATGCAGAAAAAGAAGCAAGAGAAATAAATATATAATCTGAAGGAGAGAGGATTATGTTAGATTTCACTTCCTTAATTAATGGATAAGGGAGCCCCTGAAACAGAATAAGGGAAGAGACAGAGATGATAGAATTTTTCCTCCCCTTTTCATTCATACGAAATCTATATAAAGCTATTACAAGGAATATTCATATCACAGTTGGTTACAATCAAAGGGTATTCCTGATTTGGTGGGTAAGGAAATCTACAAAGATCAAAAGCAAATCTTCCAAAATGCATAACTGAATTATTCTGATGCAGTGAAAAAAACATGACCTGGCACTTCTAGAAACTAAGAGGTTTTTTTTATGGAACATAATCCTTCAAATGGGCTGGTGTGGTAGTAATCCTTTTGGGCCTTGCATTATTTGGATGACTTATAGTTTGCTTGCTAACAGTGTCCACCTCTGGAAAAATCACCTTGTCCTCGAGGTGATAATCAGAACTGAGTTGTGCCCACTCTTCCCAACTAGTATCATCAGGTGAAAGACCAAACCATTGAACAAGGACCATTTTGGTTGGAGGGTCAGTTGAATCATCCGTTCGAGTATCTAAAATCGCCAAAGGCCTAATTACGGGTTGTTGGTTGAAGGCCTCCAAAGGAAGTGGAGTGGGGTCCGGGACAAGACCATGATGACGTTTCAGCAAGGAACAATGGAAGACTGGATGGATTTTAGACTCAGGTGGTAAATCCAATTGATAAGCAACCTTACCTATTCGGGCCAAGATTTTGTAAGGACCATAAAACCTTTTGGAAAGTTTGTGATAAGTAGAACCAGAAAGAGACTGTTGCCGATATGGTCTGAGGCGAACATAAACAAAATCACCTACTTCATAAGACATATCACGTCGTTTGAGATCTGCATAATGCTTCATAGTGGCTTGGGCTTTAATTATTTTTCGCTGCAATTGTGCGAAGAGGGTTTGGCGCGATGCCAATAATGTATCAACAGCTTCGACAGAGGATGAACCCAGTAAGTAATGGGGAATGGATGGAGCTGGTTTGCCATAAATAATATGGAAAGGAGAATACCCTGTGGAAGAGTGGGTAGAAGTGTTATAAGACCATTCCGCCAAAGCTAAATACTTAGACCACTGAGAGGGATTGGAATGAACGAAGGCACGGAGGTATTGCTCCAAGACCCAGTTAAAAACCTCTGTTTGGCCGTTCGTTTCTGGATGATAGGATGTGCTCATGCACAGTCGGGTACCACATAAGCGAAATAATTCGCGCCAAAATTTACTAATAAAGATGGGGTCGCGATCGGATACAAGGCTGCGGGGTAAACCGTGATATTTGCAGATAATATCAAGGAACAAATGAGCCACCTTAGAAGCAGAATAGTGAGGTGGCAAAGGTCCTAAGTGAACGCCCTTAGAAAAACGGTCTACAACAACCAAGATAACTGTGAAGCCTTGAGAAGAGGGTAGACCAGTTATAAAGTCAAGGGATAAATCTTCCCACACAGTTGTAGGTGCTGGCAAAGGTTGCAGAAGGCTAGCTGGTTTGTGTGTTACAGATTTCACTTGTTGGCAGATAGAGCATTGTTGAATGAAGATTTTAACGTCTTTACGGAGTCCATCCCAATAGAAATTTGCTAATAGTCGAGTCACCGTTTTAGTTATGCCCATGTGGCCACCAATTGGAGTACTATGGTATTCATCAATAAGCTTGAGGCGGAATGTATTATCTGGATTCAACCATAAACGATTTTTGAATACAATCAACCCATTATGCAACTTATAATCTGGATGAGCAGCAGGGTCCGTTTGTATGCGGTCAAGTAATTTGATGTAAGTAGAACTAGCATGTACCGATTGGCGCAACTGATCCATAAAAATGAAATTAGGCATGAAGATGGCATAACACACAGCAGGGGAAGCATCGGGAAGTCTAGAAAGACCATCTGCAACAACGTTATGAGATCCTGGCTTGTACTGGACCGTATACTCATATCCCAGTAACTTAGAAAGGTAATGTTGTTGTTCTGGAGTTTGTATGATCTGGGACAAAATCTCTTTGAGGCTCTTATGATCGGTATTAATGACAAAGGGGTACCCCAACAAGTATTGGCGCCATTTCTTGACAGCTGAAGTAAGAGCGTGTAATTCCCGGACATAAGTGGAAGAATGAAGGAGTTTGGGGCTGAATGGCTTACTGAAAAACGCAATGGGTTGATTGCGTTGCATCAGAACGGCACCCATAGCTGTGCCAGATGCGTCCGTATCAACAGTAAAAGGGACAAAAAAATCCGGCAAGGCAAGAACTGGTGCACGGGTCATGGCTGCCTTAAGAGCTTCAAATGCCTGTTGAGCTTCCGGAGTCCAAGCAAAGGCATCTTTTCGAAGCAAATTTGTAAGAGGGGAGGCAATATTGGCATACCCTTTGACAAATTTACGGTAAAAGCCAGTAAGGCCGAGGAAGCCACGGAGAGCCTTGACGTTAGAAGGAGGAGGCCAATCCAGCACGGCTTGAATCTTGGAAGGGTCAGGTTGAACCCCTGCAACGGAAATGATGTGTCCCAGATATTCCAGTTGCCTTTGTGCAAAGAGGCACTTAGAGATTTTGAGATAAAACTGGTTCTCCAACAGACATTGTAGTACCTGTTCCAAATGAGAAACATGTTGTGAGAGAGACGAACTATAAACAAGAATGTCGTCGAAAAAGACAACAACAAATCGACGGAGAAATGGGCCGAGGATGGTGTTCATGGTAGCTTGGAACGTTGACGGCGCATTACAGAGGCCAAAGGGCATTACGCGGTACTCATAGTGTCCCTGGTGAGTACGAAATGTTGTCTTAGCAATATCATCCGGATGCATCAATATTTGATGAAAGCCTTGTTGAAGATCGAGTTTGGAAAACCATGTTGCGCCACCAAGCTCGTCTAACAACTCATCAATGGTAGGCATTGGGAAACGGTCACGAACAGTGACAGCGTTAAGAGCCCTGTAATCGACACAACAGCGCCAGGACCCGTCCTTCTTGCGAACTAGGAGGACCGGTGAAGAAAACGGACTCCTACTTGGTTGGATCATGCCCTTGTCAAGCAACTCTTTTACTTGTTTTTCAAGTTCACTTTTCTGGGAATGGGGGTAACGGTAGGGCTTGACGTTTACCGGTGTAGCATTAGGAAGGAGGTGAATACGGTGATCAGTTGGGCGAGATGGGGGTAATGATGGTGGTGAGTGGAAGAGATTGTCAAAACGGAGGAGAAGTGTCTTGATGGTAGGTGGTAGGTAAGCGGTGTGGGGCGGTGAATTTGTGGTGGTGGGTTCATGTATGGGTATAATTTGGATAGTAAATAGTTCGGATGCACTATGAGTTTGGATGCACCGTTTGAGTTGTGGGCTAGAGAGTGGGTCGGTGTGACTATGGTTAATCCCCCTTAATATGATGGGTTGGCCTTGGTGGGTAAATGAGATGGTAAGGTGGTTATAATCCATGAGAACAGGCCCAATAGATTTGAGCCATGCCGCGCCCAAAACAATATCGGCACCTCTCAAAGGAAGGATGTAGAAATTAACATGGAGAGTGTGCTCCTGAATTTTTAGTTCGACCTCAGGGCAAAGACGATCACATCGTAAGAGATTGCCGCTCCCAACCATAACGGTCAAGGGGTTGTATGGGATTGAAGGGAGATCTAGGAATTTGGCTACCCGGTCTTGAATAAAATTGTGGTCGCTACCACCGTCGACGAGAATAGAAACAGGGTTGTTGCCGATTTGCCCTTGGAGACGTATGGTGGATGAACCAACACCGCCAGTGAAAGCATGGAGGCTGACCTGAGAATGGTTTCCGTCAACAACGGCCGTAGGAGAAGGTGGATCCAGAACCATTGTAGGATCCGGGGTAAAATCATCGGCGATAGGGTCTTCGGTAGTGAAGAGAAAAAATTTCCCTTTGCAACGGTGGGATGGTGTGAAGATCTCGTCGCAGTTATAGCAAAGACCCTTTTCCCGACGAGCGGCCATGTCTTCTGGGCTGAGGCGGCGAAAGTTGATGCGGGGTTGGGGTGCCGGTAGGAGTGTCGGGGACGCAGTGGCGGCTGGTAACGCAGTATTGAAATTAGTTGCCGGAATCTGAGTTTTGGGGCGGAAAGAACGGCGACGTTCCTCGATTTTGTCTTCTTGCAGCTTAGCAAGCTGGGTCGCGTGATCCAGAGATGCGGGACGGATGGCCTGAACCTCGCGGCGGATTTCTGGTGTCAATCCGGAGATGAAGCAGTTCAGGGCAAATGTGGCAGGTAAACCCACTATTCGATTTGCGAGGCGTTCAAACTCTGTGAGATATTGTTGAACTGTCCCTTTCTGTGTGAGTTTGAATAAAGCACCAGAAGGTTCATCATAGAGTGACGGAGCGAAACGAGTTTCCAAGGCGCGAAGGAACCCAAACCATGTCTGAATCTGGTTGTTCCGGTACATCCACTGGTACCAACTTAGGGCTGGTCCGTCCATATAGAAGGAGGCGACTTGAAGACGTTCCTGTTCCGGTGTATTGTGGAAGTCGAAGAATTGGGAAATTTTGAAGATCCAGCCAATGGGGTCAGTTCCATCGAACCTGGAAACTTCGAGCTTCATGTGTGGTCTGCGGAACCCGTCAGGGGCATTGGAATTTGAGGGAGAAACGTGTGGTTGGGGGGAAGGTGGTCGAACCATCAAAAGAGAAAGTTGTTCTAGAATAGAATCAACTTTGATGGTTAAATCATCCAAGCGTTCTGCGTTGGTGGGTCGGTTGGCCATGACTGAAAATGAGCTCAATGAAAGCACCAAATTGTTAGATTTCACTTCCTTAATTAATGGCTAAGGGAGCCCCTGAAACAGAATAAGGGAAGAGACATAGATGATAGAATTTTTCCTCCCTTTTCATTCATACGAAATCTATATAAAGCTATTACAAGGAATATTCATATCACAGTTGGTTACGATCAAAGGGTATTCCTGATTTGGTGGGTAAGGAAATCTACAAAGATCAAAAGCAAATCTTCCAAAATGCATAACTGAATTATTCTGATGCAGTGAAAAAAACATGACCTGGCACTTCTAGAAACCAAGAGGTTTTTTTTATGGAACATAATCTTTCAAATGGGCTGGTGTGGTAGTAATCCTTTTGGGCCTTGCATTATTTGGATGACTTATAGTTTGCTTGCTAACAGATTACACTCTCTTCAGCATAGATACAAATGCCTAGTTTATTAGGAAAAATATTTTCTATATTCAATTTAATTATTATTGCTGTCACGATTTATTCCTTAATTTTGTATGCAGAAAATTTAGAAGATCAATTTTATACAAGTACACAATAATGCTCCTTTTTCTAAGATTTGACAGAATACATCATTTAAGCAAAGGCTTGGGGTGCAATAACAATCAAGAGTCAAGACACCTACGATGGTCATAGCTTCATAACACAACACATGTACCTATACCCAAGGTAGTCATAATTAAATCAATAAAATCCAAGTGCCCAAGGTTCTAATCTTCATCGTAATGTACACCTGAATTAGTTCAAGTATCAGATATTCTATGGATGTCCCTGCCCCTTTTTTGGGTGATCAGGGGTACGGTCCTATAGAAGGATTTATAGCATAATCACCAATGCACTCAATATGAAAGCAACACTTCCCAAGTGCTTCTGCTCTAGAAAAAAAAAAAAAAAAGACAAGCATACAGTTTATGATTTTAAAAAAATCACATTGCCAGGCACCACGGGCTTCTAATATCTAATATCCGTGTGCTAATGTTTCAAAGCATAACTTCACCAAAGACTACTAACAAGTAACACCATGAGCTTGATATTCTCTTCACATCTGCAGATAAAAACATATAAGAAACAAGAAGATAGCAATTGACGACTTAAGGTGCCCCAAACTCTTAAAACAAATTCAATATTGATGTGTGCATGAATTTGATGCAACGCCCTATCACTCTCACCACACCATTTTCCGCTTTAGGCAGCAACTAATGCGTGTGGTCTGAAGTTAAAAAAGTGTGGCCTAAACTTTAGACAACACTTTGGCAACGATTTTCTAGATGTGGATGACATGGTCGTGGGCTTAGTTTTAGGCAACGGTTTTTTACTAAGATCGTACAATTTACTAGATTGTTAAAAAGATTCAGGAATATTCAAGTTAGGCATGGCCTCTTTTAGTACTTGTAAGATCAGTGAATGAAGAATTGCTCCAACCATGAAGACACTTTAATAAATATAGCCAAAAGATGAAAGATAAGGTGGAGAAGCTTCACATCCGGGGTAGAGTTCTTAATTTGGATCATTAATCAATTGGTAGAACTTTCTAGCTGTATCTTTAGGACTCTCTATGCCTTCTTTTGTTTCTACCACATTTCTAAATATGTCATACAATAGGGCATTAATATCATCATGTGAATCTTCATTATCTATCATGTCTTCATCTTTACTAGAAGGCAAAGGTGTTTCTTCTCCATGGTGAACTTAGAGATCATACCCTTTTAGAAATCCAGAGACAATTAAATGATCGTAGACCATGCGTAGTCTTGCCCAAATATAATTTTTACATTTAACGCATGGACATAAAACCTCACGTCCTTTGAGGTCTTCCTCTAGTGTAAGCAAAATTTAGAAATTAATCAAGACCATTTATATGCTTTGTACTAAACCTTGGAAATTTAGTCCACTCCTTCTCCATCACCTTTAATGTAATACATAAAAAATCATAGTTTCATTAAGCAATTGATAATTGAAAATAGTATTACATGTACTAAAATTATAGCTTCAATAAGCAATAATTTGTTACAGAAGTTAGAACTTGGAAGCACTTACAAATGAATTTAGCCCATATAAAAAGTACAATATGTTAAACAGTGAATGAAACACCCTTGGTTCACTTATAATTCAAAAGTCAATTTAAATGCATTTTACAACCAAAATAACACTAACCTGATACTTTAGACAGCAGAAGATGGCATAATCTTGATGCAAGACAACCAAAATCAAAGCAAGAATAATCCAAGAGAATAGTACTCTGTCATGATAAATCCAATGACAATTAGACACAAAAACATAACGAATAAATAAATCATAAAACTAAACTACATTGACGGTTTTATTTCATAAGGACTCAACGCAGCTACTGCAAGGAAAATGATTCAACGAAACAATGTAAAAACTAAATCTGAAACTAGAAAATAAAACTAAAACAACAAGCTCAAACCAAAGAGCAAAACCAAAATGTAAACTAGTGCTGAAACAGTGAAAAGCATATACAGAACAGAAAATTGAAACTAGGCATCTTGAGATTGAAATGCAAAACTGATTTAAACGAAATCTGATATGCTAATGGAGTGCTGGAATGAAAATGCAATGAATAACTGAAAAACCTATCAAAACTGAATTAACTACCATTCTAATCAAACAAGAAATCTGAAAACAACTTGAAATATAAACTGGAAATGAAAAACGCATATTAAAATAATTATTTTTATTATTGATTGTGACCATGTTATACGAGTTTTGTATTAAAGACCAGAACTAAAATCTAACATCATAAACTTGATTACGGATTTATTAAAATAAAATTAAAAATACTCATAAAAATCATAAAATCAAATAAAATTTAACTTAGCATTTCAAACACCCTCTAAATTAACAGTGATGGTGTGGCAGAAACAACATGTTCTGTACGTGTATTGATGAAAATTTGATCAGACATTATTATATAACCCATAAACATACATGCGACACAACTCATCCATATAGTAATAAACTAAAATTCTAAATGTGATTCTAAATATAAAAATAAATCAACTCTTTTCTTTTATTAAAGTGGTCAAATATACTTTATTTTTCATCTGGTATGAGTTCTGCATAAAATAAAAGTATTTTGAGAATTTTATTCTTATAAACAAGTGCATTTAATTGGATCTTCCATTGATAAATTCTCAACTGTGTCCAAAAGCTTTAACAAAACGACTTTCCTTGTTGGTAGCAGCTTAGCACTGAGCCATATTTATTTTGTTTCCAGTATAAATACTAGTCACAAGAACAAAATCAGTAAGTACGATGAGTGCTAAATCAACCAAGGTAACAATGTATACATTTCTAGTACAGATATTAAAATCAATTGAACAGCTGTACTGAACTAAAACAGAATTAAAATGAGGAAATCAGAATATGGGTTTTGAAACTAGTATGGGTAATTCTAAAATCAGAAAAGCACAAACAGAAGTTATTAATGAAATCTAGAAAATTATAAATAAATTTCTCGCAAGTTCCTGGAACCAAACAGAATATGGATAATCTTCTAACAAGACCCTACTTTCTTCAGTTGTCTCCGTCATTTTCTTTCACGAACACGGGCCATCGATTTCTTCAGTTATGACTTTTACTACTAGATAACTGATGTTATTTTACATAAATCTCCTCATCGACAATCTTGTTAGAAAGTTCAAATAGAATTTTTAACTGGATGGACCTTGATTAACGTCATTTATGTACCTTAATAATCTATTATGGCTAACTTGGATTGAATGAAATCTAGAAAATGGTGTACTGAAAAACAGAACCATTACAAAAAGAGAAAATACGGACACAAAGTACTCGTTCCATGAAATGAAATATCAAAATCTTCAAAGAGACCCAAAAGAACATCTTATACACGGTAACACAAATTAAAATTCGACGATTGGACTCGCAAAATAGAAAGAGAAATCATGGACGCAAAGCCAGGGAAATGGAAAGGCATGTTAACATACCAAACAGCTCAATTTGCGGCGGGAAACGGCGGCGAGGAACGGACAGTGAGGAAGGCAAGGCCACGAGGTGCACACAATCATATGCCGAGGGCAAGCGATAGCGAGTTTGGAGATGGTTCGACCACGGTTTGGAGAGGATGAAACTAAGAAGGTTCGAAGGAAACGCAATAAGGTTTGAGGCAAGACGTCGTCGTTTGGAAGAAGATGCGGTAAGGGTTTATGGCAAGAAGTGAGGAGGGTTTAGAAGAATCTTTTGAAAGTTATTTTCTGTAATATTTTTGAAATATGTAATTCAAAATATATTTCGAATTAAGTATTTCAGAAATTTTCGAAGAGAAATATTTTTCAAAAAGAGGTACAGAAAGAAAAAGGGGAAGTGCAAGCAAGAAAAGCCCTTTGTTTTATTGTTTTATGGTGTAAATAATTGTATATGGGCTTCTTTGAAGCTGGAAATAACATTAAAATCATTAAATGTGATATCTTTTAGAAAAAGTCTCACAAACATTAAAATGAAATAACAAAATATGCATGTAATATTGAGGTAAATTTTTGTATGCATGTATTTAAAGTTAAAATGAAAAAAAGATTTTGAATTTTTTATGATGATAATTACAAATGTCATTAATAATATAATATTTCACTTAAATTTTAAAGATCTAATTTTAATATAATTTAATATTTATATTTAGACGTTAATTTCTTTTGTATAGAAATAACTGAAAACTCAATATATTATTAACTGACTAGTTGATCTGAGTAACTATGAGTTCAGAAGGTTCTTATTACATTAAAAAAAAAAAGCTGAATAAGAAGAAGCAAATATTATTAGTCTTCGTGAACATCTACTCGTCTATAAAAGAAAATAATGACAGCATTGAAACATCATGTTATGAAAGAGAGACACAAAACATAATTATTGTAGAACATATTTATTGCAACAACAAAAAAGTGGGAAACATTAACTAATTAGTCTATTTATTGTCACACTTAAGGATTCCCATCCTTTTGAAGTTGACAAGGAAATGAACATGTATGGAAGAGGTTAAACCACGTAAAGATAGAAATCAAGGGTCTCAATAAAGTCTTCTATAAAGTATTTATTAAAATCAAAATAAAATTAGTTCTTTTACAATTTAAAATTAGCCTATAGTTTCTCTTAAAACTTATTTTTAATTTACGTACGATCGAATTTAATTTATGAGAAATACTTGCTATAAGTATATTTATAAAAAAAAATTAACAAAAGACCACACGTTTGTTTTCGATGACTTTTTTGACAATGTGTCACCTAGCTACCAACTTTCCTATACTTTATATATCCTCCCAAATAATAAAATATAATTACATTATATTTGAGATGCTCAACTTTTTATATATGGGAAAGGTAATTAATCAGTTAAGTTGTCAATTTGTTGTTTATGCGTTACAATAAGTATTATACTTTTATAATTCAGTCTCTCCTTCCTTATTATTTAATGTTGTTTTCCATGACTTTTGACCAACACTGTTACCAGCTTTCTTCAATCTTTCACGCAGTGGTTGCAGTGAAGTAAAACATCAATTTTTTGGTTACTACAATTCGCAAAACTTTAGTTACTTGAACCGTTAAATACTAGAAATAAAGAAAGCAAACATTATTTGCTTATGTGCATTTGTGGACCTGCAAATTCTAAGTGTATTTGAATATCAAAATTACCAATAGATGTAACCTTAAGGATTTCTGTGCTAGCTAAAAATGTTGAGACATATAGTAGATAACAATGTCATGGAATATGAACATTCTCTACAATACAAGTGCTGCATATATAAGAAGATGACAGAATAACTTTCCAGCAGTTATCAGCATTTTCTAACAGATATCACACTTGCAGATACCTTCTTCACCTGATAACTCAAGAAGAAAAAGACATCTACATAATATGATTATTATTTAACCCTAATGAAGAAACTCTCAAGGATCTTTGCAGGATACATAAACTATATCAGGAACTGAAAAATCTTGGAAGTAGTACATTGCTTCAATGCAGCAGTCGTTTTATGTGAGAAACAAGAGGCATCAAAATATAAAGTTCATGTCAACATTTATATATTATTCTCTCTGCTTGGTAGGGAGCTAATAGAGTGTAGCTGTCCACGTGTTGTCGAACATTTAAAACCATCAGTCAACCATGTGACAGAGAGAGAAGGATTATTCTCTTCGATGTTGACATTAACAAAAGAAATATGCATGATTTTTGTCATTTTGATGATATAGCATATCATTCTATTCTGCTTTTCATAGTAAAGGAACAAATAAATAAATAAGAACTTCATTTTCTCATATCCATGACATCTAAAAGTAAAGAATATTGTTATGAATGTGAGCGTTTATCTATATTACTCACAATCACTTCTGCAAACTCATTTTCTTAACAGAAAATGTTGATGAGTACGAAACTGTTTTCATAAAATCCTGCACGAATGGTGTTTTTCATCAAACCTTGTTCTATATAAAAAAAATTATTAACCTTTATTTTTTAAAAGTATTGTTGCTATTCATGCATTTATGTGTTTCTGATATATATAGAGAACATGCTCGGTGATGTTTTTAGTCCTACATGTTTTACATTATGTCTTTTGTTTATCATCGAGACTATATTTTGATTTATTTATGCATATATATATCACAGGTATATTTCTCTTACAATTTGAAGGAGACTTGCAATGAAAAAAAATCAATCTTCATTGCCAAGTTCATTTTAAATAATTTTAAAAACTAAACTTTAAATTTAATTTAACTTCGACTTAAAGTAATAATTGTATCGACTTTTATTATAAATTTATTTATCTCTAATTTAGAATATTCAATAAATAAAAATGGTATCACCCACTTCATATGAAACATCCATTAAATAAAAATGGTATCATATCCACTTAATAGTTTGTTCTCATAAAAAAATTAGCTTTTTTATATTGCATTTTTTTTAGTGGAAACGTGTTTCATTCAGTTTGTTTTAGAAAAATGTTTATTTTTAATTTTGTCTACTTTTACAATTTTTTAATTTTCCAACTGTATCTTGTCAGAACCATTAAATTCAGCTTTTAGTGGAATCCAGGTGTTAGTGTGAGGGTTTGGAAAGTTCAGAAAGTGGAAGACAAGTATGTGTATCTGGTTGGCCGATCGATTTTTTACGGTAGTATATAAGCAAAATTTTCAAACATTGAGCCACTTTTGCATGCACCTCTTCTCTCCAGATTTATGAGTTTCTCCTCCTTCTCTCTACAATTCTCCTCCTTCTCTCTAAAAATCCTCATTTTCTTCTTCTTCTGATCATCATCTAGGCCGTGTTTGAATTCTTCTTTGGTGGCAAGAAGTTCTTTTTCATCAATCTAGTTGCTGTGTGAAGTGGGTAAGTAAAATCATTCTTCCTTTTTAAGTTTCGGTATTTTTTGGAACATTCAAGGACTGTTCCGCTTGCATGAGTTCTTCATCTATCTCTCTCTGAACCTGTTTCTATTTTTGATCCTCTGGTTGGTGCATTTTACCGATTGGAATTGTTGTAAGTTGCTTTAGAAGTGGTTGCTGGTTAGTAAAAGTGGTGGAAGCTTAGGAAGTGCCTAGTTTATTCAAGGTAAGGGAAGCTAGTGGTTTAATTATATTTTCCTGTGTTTGGAATTGATGTGTGAATGTTTGCATGTATGAATAATGGTATGTTTGATTGAATTGTATTCAAATTTTGTGTTTGGCCGAGACATGTGAACTGGATTGGAGTTTCTATTGTAGAACGTTCGGTCAGTCTAAGTAGGAGAAGAAAGTGTGTGAAAAGGTGAGTAATGAGCAGTGTGTAATAGTTCAATGGAAAAAGTTTAAAATAACTTAGAAATCACGTTTGGAGGGTTAAAGATTAAGGAAAATATCTTATTTTGGTTTAAGAATTGTTATTCAAAGATTTGTTCTATTGACCGTTCGGCTGTGTTACGTACTTAGTCATTAATTGGGTTCGGTCTATTAGCAGTATTATCTATTTATGACCGTTCGGTCTAAATCATAGTGTTCTAATATTAAACTTGTGGTCGATCTGGATAGAGTATCCAATAACCTATAAATACTCGGTTTAGTATAATATTTGGTATAAGTTTTAAGAGTTTCAATGTAAGTTATGAGTGTTGGTTTAAACTCTTTGGGTTGAGCTAAGAGCCTAGTAGTTGGTTTCTATGGTGTTCGGTCTCCAATGTTCATATGTTTTCTCTTTATTATGTGAAAATTTAATTGATGAATGATTGTGTATGTTAAGAATTGAAGATTTATACTTTCAAATATTGTGGAAGAGAATTCCAAAGGAGGAATGTCTCATGGATGGTTATGGAATTGTAAAGTATGAATATAGATATGTTAAGCTGGCGTTCATCCTGATATTCTGTGAGTTACTCATTCTCAAGTAGAGAGGAGTAACTTATGAGTGAGAATGGCAGGAGGTCCTACCGCCTCAGGGTGCCGAGGTAGGTAGTATGGGATTAACCTTGGGTAGTAGCTTGATTGGTGTCAGCTGTTACACTACCACAAGTGCAAGGACGACTGTAGCTACATATTCATACAATCTTGATGGTCAAGTCATAGTGTTCGGTTATATATATATATATATATATATATATATATTTATATGAATGATGATGTTTTGGTTGTATGTGATGAATTGTATTCATTGTTGTATGATGTACCATTTGGTTTCATATAGATTGAACTTGCAAGAAATGCATATATGTGTTTATAATTAAATTACAATAGCTTACCCTATTTTCTTGTTATGTTCTGTCTTGTCCGTTCGATTTTCTTTTCCTTTGCGATGATCGTTTTGTGGATGTGAGCAGAAGGTAACGAGTGTTTGGTGGAGCAAGTATTGGAAGGCGAATATCCTGTCGCTTAAGTTATGACCGTTCGGTCATCTGTTGTGTATAGTTTTGAATTGGACCGTTCGGTCAATAAATTTAGTATTCCTTTTTGCAAACCGATCGGTTTATACAGTGTGTTGTATCACCGTTCAGTTTATTCCTATGTTTTGTATCAAACTTATGATATTGTGTAAAGTTTTTAGTTTTATGGTTAGTTTTGGATAACTGTAATGGTTAAATACTTTACTAACTCTTAATGAATTGATCTATCATATTATTATATGTGATTAATCTATGATATAGTATTATGCTATATTTTGAGGATGTTACATATCTCATGTTGGGTGAGTCTTTTGTATCAACACTAGTTACACTTAAACGTCACGCACTAGCCTAAATTACAAAATTTGTAGGCATTAATGGTGGAAAAATATTATTTAATGGATGTTAGAAACATCTTCTCTAACAAACCCTTTTATTAATTAAAATAATGAGTTGAATATTTTTTTCTTAAATTTCACTAAAAATTAGAATTACTTTCTCTTTAAAATTTTAGTCCAATTTAATTCATAATTTGATAAATTTTTATTTCAATATTATCTTAAAAATACATTTAAAATAAGAGATTAAATTAGATTAAAATTAAAAAAAAACTGATTCTAATTTTCATTATTGAAAGTTAAGATATAAAAAATATTCAAATTTAAAAGTAATTAATAGACTGTGAAACTACCAAATTTTGATATTTTTAATTAATGTCAAAAATACATTTTGCCATCATTTTTCTTATTTAATAATTGAAATGTGAGAAAATTGGTTGTAGTAAACTCAGGTTTTGGTTTTGGCTTACATTTATTTTGAAACTTCAAAAATATTTAAATATTTCGAAGCTCATTAAATAAGCAATATATTGGTAGTAGAAAAATGAATGTGTTTATGGCCTTTTTTAATATTGAAATGGATTGGACATGATTACCTAAGATCTGACTTAACTGGAAACGGCACTGAAAGATACAGTACAATACCTACTTGGCCATCATCAAAACGACACCACTCAGAAGTGCGAATTCTCCCGTTTTACCGTGTTTCCTTTTTTCCTTTTTTATCCCACAACTATACACTTTTCCAGAGTTTGAAAGAAGATCGAACATTGAATATAAATATTTTTTCATAAGATTTAATTCTTACAGTAAAAAAAAAAATTAAGAAATTAATCACTCTTCACTACATCAAATCCGTGTATTTGTACTCTTTTACCAGAGCTTTTGTATGTACCTTCTAAACTTGTGTGCATGAATCTAGCCAAAGATATGTAACTATTAGATTTGAGAAAAAAAATAATATTTAGATTTTTATTTTATTTTTTACAAGTTTAATCAAATTTAGTTCTAATTATCGTAATTATTATATTTACATTTTTATGATTTTTTTAATCTTTGGTACTAACTCAAGTTTGTTTAGTGTTGACATGATAAAAAAATTAAAAATATAAATTTCAGACGTGTAATTTAATTAATTAATATACTTATTAGTTTGTATAAATACGGTAAATTTAGTATATTGTAAACAGTATTTTTTATTTTAGTTTTTAATGCAATAATTTAATTTAAATATTTCATTTTAAAATTATAATTTAGTTAGACACTTAAAACTTTTTAATATAATATTTATTTACTTAATTTAAATTAGGTGGTGAGAGATGCATGCACACTATCTTAAAGGTACACGTTAGAATTACTCTTCTTTTTGTTTTCTCCAAGGATAATTACCATAAAGGGCATGCTTGGTTTTAGGGCTAAAGGATTTCGGTTTGCACTAAACGAGATATTTAGAAAAGCAGAAGCATTGTATAACGTAGAAAACATTTGATGGTGGTCTTTATCTTGTCCCCTTTTATTAAAAGAAATCAAGAAAAAACAGAAGAAAAGAAATATGTAGTACATTTTTAACTTTTCTGAATTCCAACTAATTTTCTAGCACTCTAGTTTTGACTTTTACTTAATACTTTTTTCTCTTAGAAATTTTTCTTTTGTACATTTTTTTCTGCAAAAATAGTGTTTAACAAGAAGAAAAGTAAGAAAGCAATGGAGAATATTACACGATAAAGCATTTGACATGTGGAGATGAGTAAAGAAAAGAAAAGTTTCATAGAAATTTGTTACATGAGTAATATAATTTTTTTTAAAAAACTTATGTTCTTTTTGGTGTTTTTATTTGTCTTGCTTCTTATCAATTTGTTGTTTTATTCTTTGACTTGGTTGATGTAGTCTTTATGACACTATGAAATCTTTGATTTATTAGAAGAATTTGATTTTAGTTTTAGATTAGTATGTTAATTTTTTTTTAAATGATGATACAGTAACACATTTTTTTCTCTTTCTTTTAAAAAAAATACAAAATCTATTTTTTTATAATAATTTTATCTTACTGTGTGTCACAAAAAAATAATATCAAATTAATATAAAAAAATATATATATATATATATATATATATATATATATATATCAAATATATTAAAAAAAATGAAATAACATATATATCTTATATATTTGTTTTACTATTTGCTCTGAGAAAATGGTTTTTTTAGCATTCTGTCTTTAAAAAACATATCATAAAATAAATAAAAATATTTAAATTGTCTTAAATTTTAGTTTTTAATTTTCATTATCAATGCCAATATGTTCCTTTTTTGTTCTCACTTCCTCTTCTTCCATAACAGAAGTTCTTAGTCACGGGATTTTGTTAAAGTCTTGCAAGGTTTATGCTGTGAAAGTGTAAAGAGGATTTTGTAGTTTGATATAACCATTTCCCCCCTTCAGACGCCTCTTTTTTGCTAGGTTCCAGGATTTCAGCTCCTGCTTACAGTAACAGTGAGAATCTGAAGTGATCAGCATGAAGAACTTGTTGATATTTCACATGCCCAATGAAATTTATATTTGCATATAATGGAATAGTCTAGGTCTTCTTTAGAATATTTTAAATTCTGGAATAGCCCTTTGGCTGCAATTTGGCCATCAATTTTCATAAGCAATGAACACCATGCTTGTGGTAGCTGGTTTTCATAAATTCAAATTATTATTTGTGTCCACACCAAAATAATGTGGAGTGGGGCACCTCTTGGCCCTTGAAATTGGATAGCATCCCGTGTGAACTTTCGTGTTCCAAATTGCCCTCAAAGAACGATACATAACAGCTTCATAAATTGCATAGTTGCAGCAATGTACCTCAGTGAATCAATCAGTCATTAATAACTAAGATTTTTCCTTTTTAAAATTTTCGAACAAGTTGGTTTTCCAAAGAAGTTTATGGAATGAAATTGATGTAAGAAACCTGTTTTATTCTGCTTTTTGTCTTAGCTCGCGTTTCATGATGTTTCCTTGTTTATTAATTTGGTTTGTATTTGGAAACTTGTTCAAAAGATAGAGAAAGAAATACGCCAATTTTGCTAAAAAAATGTAGAAGCTATAACTAGCTGCATCTGGGTTGATGTGAAGATTTGCATGCAAAATATGGAACCAAACATGAAGCATTAATATGTATGCATACATATTCCTTCACAAAATTTTGGTTGTTCTGTTTCATTCAGGACCAGAAGTCCCACCATTGGTAATCACTGGTCGTTTGGCCTAAGAGACCATCGGATTCAAAAGCACTCCAATCTTCCGGTGAAGTCAAGGAGTCATCAGCATGCTCAGCAAAGTTCAAGAGACCATGTTCATTTTCTAGGCCAAAGTGTTCCGCCTTTATGCTAGCATCATCATCAGACAGAACGCCGTGTGCATGTTCTGATCTTTCTATGGATGGGCTTGGCTTTTCCTCGAGCTCACATTTCATGGTGCCTCCATTTTCTGATTCACTGTCCATTCTGTTTTCTGCTTCAACTTGTGTCCGACTCTGACCTGCCTCCAATGGCTTCTGCATTAGATGATTCAGCTTCTGCAACTGATGACAACAGATACAAAAACAATTTTACTTTACAGAAATTGATACATATCTTGGACAAAACTCAGAACTGTACTTTCATTCATTTCAAGAATCTTCCTACCCATAACCCAATTAATGAAGTAAAACTTCAATTCTAATTGAAGAACAATACTAAAAACACTAAAGAATATGTTAATCTGTATTGAATAAAGTACCTGAATCAGTAATGTTTGTTTTTCCTTCTTGAGAGCTTCAAAACGTGAGGCTAAACTGTTGTAATTGGATTGTAGTATACCATAGTCTCTCTCGAGTTGCTTTGACTTCCACCTAGCTCTCTTGTTCTGAAACCATATAGCAACCTGTCTTGGCTGCAATCCAAGGTCTCTTGCCAGCTGCAACTTCTTTCTAGGCTCTAGCCTTGACTCTGTCTCAAACATGGTTTCCAAATATTTGATTTGATCATCACTGAACCTTCTTGTGTTGTTGCTTTTCTTCTTTGATCTGATGCCACTTGATGGGGTGGTGCTGCTACTGGTGTAAGTTTCAGCCTCTGCACCCTCTGCTGAATAAGTATATTCCATGTTGTGTAACACTCTCACACTTGCTGCTAGCTGAGACTAAAGGGCCTTGAGTTGAAGATAGGTGAGTTAGGTGATAGAGGATTTTTTAGAGAATGTTTGTGTGTGTATGTTTTGATATGCAAGTATCAATTGGCTTTTGCTTATTGGAGTTCCTATCATGGTGGTCAGAGTGAAGTCCCCAATTGCTGGCTTTATATCCAAAACTCATTGGTCCTGTTGACACCTTAACACACGATGTTCTTCCACCTGTATGTTGTGAATATTACCTATTTTTCTAAGTCAGTGACGTTTATTCTTATATCTGTTTGTTTTTTTATCTCTAGCTTTTGAGATAAACTTTGTGCACTACTTTTGGTTCCGAGCCTTCTTTGCTGGCTTGGCTTCTGAAGCTTGCTTTTGCTGAGTGCTTCAATTATAACTTCTATATTCATATATCATATTCTGTCATCAGATTCATCATTTCTGGTTTATTTAATCACAATTTTAATGATTTATGTGAGTAAGAATGCAGTATTTGATATTCGTGTGGTCGTTATCGCTGTCATCATTATTTTAACTTCAACGTTTTGTCCTAGAGTTGTGTCGGTTTCATGAATCACGTTTCTTCATTAAAATTTTATTTATTCTAGTTTAATAGCTGCTGCGCTACCTTATTGATCAAATCAGTACTATTATATTGATACTGTTTTTCTTTACTTTATCTTACAATATTAGTATTTCTTTAAGAAATCTTCTGCGTCTACACATTTAGTCAAGATTTTTTTAAGATTTTTTTATTATTGCTGAAGAGAAGCCTCTGTTGTTAGCATGATTCATGTGTTTTTTTTTTATCTTTTTGTGGTCTTGATTCAAAAGCACCACAATAGACTTGTTCTATGAGGCTCTTAAAGCATAATGTTTGATAAAAGCAACAAAAGATTATGTTTTGGTGGCAAAAAATTGTAGTTGTACTTAGGAAGCAATATGATACGAATAAAAACGTGTTGTGGAAAATTTTTGGAAAGGCTACTTTCGAGTGTATCTTTTGCGTCTTTTTATTAACATTTGACATAAAAATTGCCAGACACGTGAGTTAAAAATGCGTGTCCAAACATGCACCAAATCTGAGTAAGAAATTAGAACTGTCACATAAAAGATCATTGCGTGGTTAAGACATTAAAGTTAATGCTCAAATGTTTTTTTGTTCTTTTCTTTTCATCAGCAAGCCGTGTTTGCATGTAAGAATCTTTATGTTTTTTTAGTCTATGTGACAAACTAATTTTGTTTGGGACCGGTTCGATACATAGAAAAAAAATTAAGGCTAATTAGAAATTGGGATTAGAGATAGTTTAGATATAACTATTCTCTGTCGTAATAACACTTTTATTTAAACACAGTGTTTATTAATATTCAAAAATTTAAAACTCGAAATAATAAACCTTAAACATTTCATATTTCAGACATATTAAATGCTTTTAATAAAAATATGAATTAAATAAATTGTTAAAACGATTCGTAATATTTGTTTTTTTCCTCTTTAGACATTCGCACTAGTGCAGAAATGACCTTTAACGTCACCCCTTAGACGCCGGACCACAAAATAATCAACGTAAATTATTGACCGGTGTCATTTACGTAAATAAGTTGGACATATAGACGTCTATTAAGGGGGGTCATACGTCTACAATATTATAGACGTCGGGACCCCCCCCCCCCTTAACAGACGTCTATATGCCTGACAGGTAGGTGAAAAGTCATTTTTTTCGCCATATAGACATCTGATCCCGCCACCCCGACGTCTATAGTCTATTATAAACGTCGGCCCCCTGTAACAGATGTCTATATGGCTGACAGGATAGGTGAAAAGTTAACCTAGACGTCTTTCCCCCTTCTAACCGACGTCTCTATGCACCGTTAATATTAATTTTTAAATCAGAAAAGACGTCATATTAGTGAGGGCCCCGACGTCTAGACTATTATAGACGTCGGTCCCTCCCAGAATCCGACGTCTATAGTCTATTATATAGGAAAACGTGAACCCGCGGGGAGTTACCCTCACTTTTCATCGTCTTCCTCCTCGCGTTTTCTCTCTGCGGCATTGCATTTCCATGTGCGTTTTCTCTCTTTTGGACCGTTTAAATTTACTTTTACTCCGATTAAATTACTCTTTGATGAAATATTTTCCATTTGAACTGATTAAAATGTGTTTTCGTTGCGTTTTGGTGCAGTTACTCGCGTGTTGTTGGTCGGCGTTTTTGGCCTGCGCTTTTTGGCGTGCACTCCTCCATTTCCCTCCATTGCGTTTTTAATCTGCTAAGAAGGTTAGCTTACTTGTTGAAAACATTTTTTTGTATGCATGTTATTGGCTTTTGTGTATGTATGTTATTGACTTTTGTGTATGCATATTATTGGCTTTTGCGTATGCATGTTATTAGCTTTTAGGTATGCATGTTATTGGCTTATAGGTATGCATGTGTTATTGGATTTTGAATATGCATGTGATAAAGTTTTGTTGTGTTATTATGATTGTTATATATGTTAGATTATAAGTATCAAATCATTGAGTGAAACTTAGTTCCCGTTTGAAATTTAACACAAACGATTAATCTTTTAATCGTTAGTATTAAATTTTGAATTATCTGATTGGACAATTTGGAAAAATTATCTTTCATAATTTGCTATAACATGTACGTTGGAGTTTATGAATAAGATTGATAAACTTTCGGTTTAGATTATTTGTGTTGTTCTCCATATGTATATTTGATTGTGGTTATCCGTGACCACTCTCATTTCGTGTATTTCGGAGACCAATGCGAAATGCTGTCATTTATCATGTTAGACTTCTTTGCACGTGACTTAGCAAATTATGAAAAATAATTTTTCTGAATGGGTAGGGCCTAACCTTGTGAGAGCTAAAAAATTGAAACTTATGAAGTATGTTACGAACATAGTATGGATCGAAGCTGGATGAATGAACGTCGCATCAATGAAGAATATGAGAAGGGTGTTTCAGTGTTCTTGTAATATGTTTAACAAAATGCAAAGTTTGTGAACGAGATATATTTTTGCCCTTGTGTTCGTTGTCTTAATCAAATACGGCAAGACTTAGGCAATGTGTGTGACCATCTATTCATGTTCGGTATAATGAGAACTTATATCGTTTGAACTTGGCATGGAGAAGTACTGGACCAACATACCACGTCACGAGGAACGAATTATGTGGAAGAATGGATGAGTGATCATTTAGAGGACATGATACGTGATGTTGGTGAAGATAATATTGGAAGAGCTAATTTGTATGATTCTCTTATAAATGTTTAGAATAATCGTTGTTCCTAGGATGCTCGAACTTTACACGTCTGTCTGCAACTTTGAAGTTGTTTAGTTTAAAAAAACAGAATGGATGAACCGATAAAAATTTCACAGAGTTGTTGAAGCAGATGCTTCCAGAAAATAATACTCTACCTATTCGTAATTACGAGGCAAAATTTTTTTTATGTCCAATGGGGGATTATTGGGGGAGACATGATGTTGAAAATAATACTG